TTTGTATTCAATGTTACAAAACAAAAATGACCATGTTCAAGTCTTAAAGTCATCCTGAGGCCTTAGTTTTGGTTTCAAATTACACAAAATCATGTATGTGTTGCTTCTTTGGGGCTTGTTTTCATAGACCTGGTTGCTTATTTCTCTCAAATCTGGCAACAGAGTGGGCGCAGTGTCTAATTGTAGCAGTAAGCTAACGAGTACTGATAAGCTTTATTTAGTTTTGATCCAATGCTGCACAACTGAACTGATCCAATGCTGCTGTGAAAGAAAGAAGCTATATCCATGTTGGATAGAATATCCAATTTAAATAAAAAAATAACCGTAAGGGACAACTTGAATGCTTTTTTTTCTCTTAATGCATTGCATAAAGATCGGATCGGGAAATTGTCAAAATCAAATGATCAGAATCGGATCGGGAGCAAAAAAAGGTGATCTGGACATCCCTACTAGAAACAACATTAAAGGTCCCCTATTATACTGCTAGTTTCTACTCAGCAGAAACTCAGCTAAATGCTCCCGTGATGAAACGCCATCATGTTCCAAACCACATCAAGGATTATTTCTGAAACAGTATGGAGCTCAGGGTTTACACATACTCTCTCCAGTACAGGTTAGCTCTGAGTGTTAGCGATGCTAACGTAAACAAAGACCATATTACGTCCAAAACACGTATCAGTGTTTCTGATATTAACGTTTCTGATAGGCCCGTGGGTGTAAAGCCCGCCCACATTTCAGATATTACGTCATGACGCAGCAAATCTGGATCAGCTCCGTTGTAGCCCCGTTTTTAGAGATTTGGGTACGGAGGAAAAGAGAGGGTTTTGTTTTCTGACGCTGCGTGAGTTCCCCGACACACCGGGGACACATGTTGATGTATAGAAGACATCAGAAAGTGCATTTGCATGATAGGTCCCCTTTAAACCCTCTGAATCTTCAGTACCTGGGCGTTCCGGTCTTGCTGATGACTCCGCTGCTCAGCAGGCTGTGGAGGAGACTCGTCACCAGGACGTCCGGCTGGGTTTCTGCCAGCTGGGAGATGACGGAGAGCAGCTCTCTGCGGGAGGCGGCATCTCTGAGGAGCACACACACACATCCAGGTCAACACAAAGGATACACAAGCTAGATATCGCTGCTGCAACAGGTTATAGAAACGTGCGTTCATCATAAAACATAATGTGCTGAATTGACCCTTGACATGTATCCGCTCAATGTGTTATTTTTCCATTAAATTCATTTTAAATTTATGCAAGTTTCGGAGAAGATCTATCCTGCCTTTTGGTGAAAATTAAAACATGTTATTGTTCATTTCAATAAAACTGAGAAATACTTTTTGTTAATATATATATTTTTGCATGAATAAATGTAATTTTCTTTACACACACATATAATACATAACATCCACTTTGGGCCGATGCAACAGTAACTAGATATTGCTGACCAGACCTAAATATGGAGTGTGGACTGCTACTTGGAGAGGTCCCAGTTCACCTCCTGCCCTGCCATGGTGCCCTTGAGCAAGGCATCGGACATTTTTTGTCCAAGTTTTGCCTGAATGAATGTTATCTTTTTTGTCTTAAATGTGCCTTTTTTGCATTCTTGCAATCCGTTAATAACACCTCTTCAAATGTAAAACCTCCATAATGCTGTGCACGCTTTCCTCTGCTGTCAAGCCATCATTTCCCACACCGCCACATGCTATCAAGACCCCAAACAGCACACTTAATATTAGGGCTGTGCAATTAATCGTATTTTAATCGCAATTACGATTTTGGGTTGCTACAATTACGAAACCAACATAATCGAAAAAAACAATTATTTTGTTTGCGAGGTTGTGACAGTGCACTACAACATATTTGATCTAATTGATTTTTATTTATCATATGTAGTAGTTTGTGGAAGTGCACTCCAAAATATTTGTTGATCTTGTTTATTGGTATTTATTATTTTTATATTATTCATTTAAATGTATCATTTATTTTTGTATTGGTTTTTCAGTTGAATTATACGTTCAGGGTAATCAACAGTTAAAAAGATATATGTTCAAATTATTATTTGTATTTGTTTTAAAGTTCAATAAATGGATGTTTTCAAAGTCAATGAATAATCATGATATCAATTATTGACCAAAATAATGATTATGATTTTTGCCATGATCGCACAGCCCTACTTAATATATATAATATCCTGCTTTATATTTAGTTTACTGTAAATTGGTATTTCAACATGTATATTTTCTACTTTTTTAACGCTGTTTAATTTATATTTGAGATGTTTTTACTCTATGAATTTCTCTTATATGCAATGCCTTGTGTTTTGTGCTGCTGCAACGCAAACATTCCCCACATCGGGATCAATAAAGCACATCTCATCTTATCATTGAAAATATAAGATGTATAAAATGATTATTGCATCATGCTGACAGAAGCTTCTATCAATCCCATATATCAACGAGGACCGGCTCAACAACAAACACCTCCCTCTCCATGCAATGCAAACATATCTTTTAATATAAACAAAAACTAAATGAGGTTTAATCCATTAATAATCCAGCTTCCACTCACTTGTATCTGTGCGGCGTGAGACAGAAGAGCTTGCATAGTCCTTTGATGGCAGGCTCAGGTAACTCTGGAGAACGAGAGATTTTAAAGAAGCGTTAGTGGTGATGATAGCAGTCATTTAAACGTTAAAGGGTGGAACATGAGACGTTAAATCCCCTCACCTTTGCCCTTTGTACACAGCTTCAGCGCCCCACAGATCTCCTTGCGCTCCTTCACACTGGCTGTGGTCACATTGGCAGCAAATTTCTTCAGTGTGTCTGAAACCTGGAGAAATAAAACACAAGACACCTTTATTCTACCGAGAGGGATCAGCATTTTATTATGTATTATCATACCTTTTACTGCTGTGTCTATTTAAGTGTTAAACTGTTGTTAAAGCTTTACCTAATACATGAAAAGATACACAAATGAAGCTCATTATTATGACTTTGTTTTAATACGGTGTACATGGTGTTGTTTTAACCTATAGTTGTTTTATTGTTAATAAAGTGTGCCTACTTTGTAATATAGTATGTAAGTCTACTCTTCTTACTAATCGGCACTGTCTTTTTGCTGTAATGGAGTACATTTCCCCGTTGCAGGACAAATAAAGGATTTTAAACATCTGGTTAAAATGTGAAATATGACTAATGTAAGTTTTAGGTTTGTTCTTCAAATTACTTTTAAAATACAAAGACAAAAGAGTTCCCTTTTTCGGGTCTGCAAAAAAAGTGAATAGCAATACACACTGAGTTCCATGTTTTTAAACGTTGTCAACAAAAACAATCAAACTATCCCTTTGTCAACATGCTAACTAACTTCAGTAGATTTAAAGAACCCACTCTTTATCATTAAACTCCTTATAGAAGGCGTGGCTTAGTGTATCATCACACGAGATGCTAGTCTGCTTAATTTAGGTTAATTCAAACAGTTTACATTAAAGGATATTAAGTTAAAACACCAGAAGATATAGATTACAAAACAATAAATCATGAAATTAAAACCTAATCTCAATGCTACCGTTAGCATGGTGACGTCACAGCACGTTAGCATCCAGCTAACAGCCTGCTATCAGCTTTTATTGAACACCGTCTTTAAATCGCGAAAGACAGCAGTGTGTTTATGAAGCGGAAGTAAACATATACTTGATTGGGTTTTTGTAGCATTCTTGAATTCATGAATGAAAGCGGAAAATGTTTTAAAAACCAGCCTCACAAACCTGCGTGTCCGCCGCCATCTTGCCGGTCTTGCTGCAGGAAGAACTTGCCGATGTCACTTCCGGGTCACAAAAGCTACGTACGTGATTTTTTCGAATTGTAATTTGAAATGCTTTTAACAATATTATAAGTATTTATTGTTTTATTATTGTATTTAAATCGTTTATGTGGAGTTACATGTCTGAAATATTTTTGTCAATAAAAAAATAAAATCGAAACCAAAAGCAGAGCTGGGAGAACTACTTAGATCTGGTACTTGAGTAAAAGTACAAGTACTCAGATCTTTATTCCACAGGCCATAAGACTGCTAAACACCTGAGCTCTGTGAAGTGCCTCCATAAACATTCATCTGTTTGTCATCTTGCAATTGACTTATTTATCTAAATAGTTATCACCGCAATAAACCGTATTTAATTACGTCTAAATGTACAATATTTAATTATGTTCTATTCTTGTATAGATCATATTCTATTTGCATGTATAAAGACTTATTGCACTATTTTGTATTATATTTTGTTATGTATGTTGCATCCTTGGTGGAGCTCAGGTCAGAAGAATTTCATTGCCATTTTTACACTGTAGCTTTGTGCATATGACAATAAAACCTTTGGACCTTTGTAGTTGTGTTAAATTAGAAGTGCTCAGATCTTGTACTTGAGTAAAAGTAGAAATACTCAGATCTTGTTCTTGTGTTAAAGTAGAAGTACTCAGATCTTCTACTTGAGTAAAAGTAGAAGTACTCAGATCTTGTACTTGAATAAAAGTAGAAGTACTCAGATCTTGTACTTTAGTAAAAGTAGAAGTACTCAGATCTTGTACTTTAGTAAAAGTAGAAGTACCAGAGTGTAGGAATACTCTGTTACAGTAAAAGTCCTGTATTCAAAATGTTCCTCAAGTAAAAGTA